ATGGTCAGTGCTACTGGTGAACCGCTAAGAAAAAACCTTCACCAAGCCGCGTCAATGGACAGTGGTTTGCAATGAGCCCGTGCAGTATTTCTTGGCATTCTTCTCAGTCCTCGGTTATTTTTCTAGAAAATACGGATCCCCAATTAATGCATGTAATTTTTGCCGTCATTTAATCGAGATCGGCACACAAAATATTTCTTCTGACTGTTGTGGGTGTCTCGAGCGGAGCCAGACCTGAAAATTCATATTTTCTAGCTCATCCAGCAAATACGCATAGGCTAAGGGGTCCCTTTCTTAGCGGTCACTTACTTGTACTTCTGCTTATTACGGCTGTGATCATGCCTGATCTAGCCAACCTCGATGATGTCGTGAATGGTACCTTTCCATACGTGACGATTAGCGGCAGCGGATCTTGAGAGCTCCACCCAGTTTATTCTCCAGCGCCGGAGACCGAATACCGAAGGTCCACGAACAACTTCCATGTCCTGAAGGAGTGAGTCGGTGTACTTCACTTGAAAGATGGCCCATAAGCAGTAATGGTCAAAGACTTCCAGCTTCCGTTGATCTTCCACGTGCATAGCCCAACATCCGCATCTGCATAGATGAACGGACTGTATCGGGTCTGAAGAAATTTCGAAGGCTGGAGAAAACTTGTCATGCTGCGTCAATTCGGACCATTCGGAAGTTACTTCGCTCCGACTTATTTGAAATTGTTAATTTCGTCAAGTTGACAGCTATTTATCTCGAGAGATGCCTTATCTTGGGCAGAGATGCAGCATGATAACCCCTTGGTCTTATCGCAGGGGGTCAAATAAGTTAAACCCTAGTAACTGCGAGCTTCAGACCATAGTTACTTAGTAGAGAAAAAGTCGGTTAAGGCCAGAGTAGAACGAAGAGTCTAATGTGTAAACAGATAAACAGAGAATAAGTGGAAGATATCTGACTTAGGAGAACACGTCCACTCAGGAGATTGACCGGGTCCAAGTGTCAGTTTGACAGCAGCCAGGCCAGTAGACAGAGCGAGAGAGCGTTCATTGGGTAGGTCGGCCTGTGTTTGGTTGGACAGCGTGTGGATTGAAATTGATGTGGGCGGCCTGTGTCTCGCGCGCCAGTAAGACTAACGGCCGCCACGACCTTGCTGTCTAGACGGTTTGAATTCACGACAGGAAGGCCAGGGTCGGGCAGGATACAACCACTACAGTCTTACCAGTTTTTATGGACACTAACTCCTTCAAATTCTGAGGAAGCCTGGGCAGGAAACACAAAGCACTACTGAATTTGCTAGCATAATGGATCGCAGAAGAATGCTTCATTTCAGCGCAATCTTCAATATACTTGGACTACTGATGTTTTCATATCATTATCGCATGACAGTGCATAAGTGGGAGGCGGAGAAGGCTCTGTTGTAGATGGGAGCAGGGGGATGGTTGGCTCCCTATCATATTTGAGGGGGTGCTCGACGTACTGACGTCTGCGCTCGACGTTGGTCGCGTTGTCAGCAATAAAGTCGCCTAACACATCACAAACTGAGACAGTCAGTGATAACAGCTTGTTACAAGCCTGGCGAATAAGTCGGTAGAGCTTTCGAGTAACACCGAGGTTCGAGGCCTGCTCCATGGAGGTTGTTATTTTAGACAGGTACTTCTCCTGGCCCTCTCGGACAGGTTTTGCTGTCATCTTTCTTAGTTGGCGGAAAGAATCGTCATTACGGCTCCTAGCTCGGGCTGTCTCCACAGACAACTGCAGAGTTCGTCCGCTGATCCAATCATTGTGGCGTCGCCGGGTGCATCACATAATTTTCTCGGCTGCCCCATAGACTGAAGTTTTCAGTGAGGACCATGAGCTACTCTCTTCTCCGTCTGCTGGGGTCGTGAAACAGGACCGGATTTCTCTGCTCAGGGCCTGAGCGGTTTTGGGTTACCAAATTTTGGTGGCATCAAGGCATCTAGCGCGTGGCATTTTGGGCGCAGATGAGAGGTGAGCTTTAAAGCGTGTGCGAAAAATGACGTGGTCAGACCCATGGGCATTACCAGTCTCAGCACCACACAGCGAACGACTATCATGCACCCACCTGTGGAATCTTGAGCCGACTAAAATGTAGTCAATATGACTGGGCGAATGGACGTCGTTGGAGTATCAGGTTAGCAGATGTTTGTTGTTGTGCTGGAAGCAAGTGGTAATAACAAACATTCGGTTCCGTCCCGCAAAGTTCAGCAATTTTTCACCATTCTCACATCGAGAACCAAGCCCACAGCGGTTGATAAGATGTCTGTTTGTGGAGTTGTTGCGGTCTAATTAGTGGCAGAAGGAGTGATTTATTGTGTAAAGAACTTCCAATTACTATCCAAGGCGGCAGTGACCACTGGTGAAGCTGGAACCAGTGTTGACTGCGTCCAGCCAGACCTGAGGGAGTGTAGGGCAGTGGTGGCAGCTGCTTAAGTAGGATTGCGGAGCAGGCTCAAGTGGATTTTGATTGGTGTATTGCAATTGCCTGAGGTAATGTCGCCTGCAAAGGCCCCCTGCTGCGTGACCGTGGCATGGCGTGTTCAAGTGAAATTTAAAAAACCGCGACTAGCTCGGAACGCGTGTGCGTGCATGTGTGTGCACGTGAGAGTCAGGC